AGGAAACTCATTTCAACCTCCTGTATCCACGATCTCATTCTTTCAGTCTCTACCCAGCGTCACAGCGAGAAGTCACAAGACAGTTTGTGCACGTACACCCAGTTCGAGTATAAAGGATTTTTCTGTGCAAAGCACTTGAGTCAGTCAGTGCCAAAAAAAAAAAAGCAAGTTTAAATACTTAAAATCCAGTAATACAATACAATTTACCAAGCACGAAGTAAAAACTGCACGCAACTATTTCACAAGCTAATCCTCATTCATCGTTTCACCGACGGGCAGGGACAAAGCTGGAGTAAAACCATGTTTTGTGGTTTTCCTCAGAACGTTTGTTGTGTTTGAGTCTAAAAAGGAAAAAGGTTGGGTGACGTGTGCCTCTGATGTTTTGGCGTTGTCCAGCTCACATTTGATGAGACATGAAGGTCAGGGACCTTGTGGCTGTCCACCCTCTCCACTTCAGTCCTCGTGGGGATGAAGGACGGTCAAGACAATGTGTATTGTTCACACTCACCATGCTCCATTATTTTACTTTATTAATATACTTTAGACTTTATAACCATTTCTGCTTCTAATCTGTACTGTTAGTGTGAATATTGAAATGTTCTATGGTCCTGGTCTTGTCTACAATGAGGATGAGTTCATTCTCCTCCCCTTAGACAAAGCTGTTGTTCACCACTGTTCTGATCCCATCTCATCCCCACCAGGATGGGGGTGTCATCAGCAAATCTGATGATGGTTGATTGTCCAGAGTGGAGCCGCCATCATGGGCGTAGATGGTCCACATCAGATGATGTGAAGCATTTTACTGACTGAAAACTAATAAAACCACAACTTTTTTTGAAAAGTTAGGGTCAGGAGGTGGCGCAGCTGGAGGGTCTAGACCCGGCACTGTCCCGAGTTAGACTGTCCAAGCTCGTGTTCTTCTGTAGTCCTTGAGGAGCTGATGGTTGACAGATGTTGGGTCTAAATACCACCTGACTGCTGCAAAGTTTGGTCCATTTTTCTCCTGACTTTTTAGTGCTGCTTCACCCTCCTGCTGCCCTTGGGTTGAAAAGGCTCCCGAGACCACAGTTTTTCAACTGGAAGGAAACAGATGTTTGTGTGCTCGAGATTTTAAACTGGAGGAGGAAAATGTGCTGACTCCTCTGTTTTTAAAGAGCGGCAACCTCTCACGGCGGCTCACATCTAATTAGGTCAGCGCCATCGGCGTGTTGTTGTTCCTCCTGCACACGAGTCGCTCTGCGGCCCTCAGACGAGTCGCTCTCCTGTCTCAGATTAG